ACATTCAAATTCAAGAAAGCATCGTCCGAAAGAAATGAGCTCGATTGATCTGAAAATGCGATAGATCATATTCACATCGAACTCAGCCAGTTGACATTGCACTGTTCAGGTTTGTTTGCGGTGAAATTAATCTTCGGAAAAACAACGAGCTCAGCTCAGGATTGCCTCCTCGTCACATTTGAATATTCCTTTAATTCAGTGGTTCAAGATTGCCACCGATATGTTCTGTTAATTAGCAGAAATTCAACTTTAAACGGGTGAAAGAGAAATCATTCCGTCCTAGTAATAATGCTCAAATTAGTTTTTGCGAGTTTTTTTTTCATTAGTGAGCAAAAGCTAGCAGCATTGTGATCATAGCACACAGCCTAGTTGTAGTAGCATAATTTCAGTCAAGTGGAGAATTCAAATGACTTCTCGTAATTGTGCGCTTTCGCAAATCCGTCTTCAAAAGAGGATATTTCTGCTGTGATGATTAAAAATTGTGGCACCATTCAGTGGCATCATATCACAATATACGTATTGTTATAGTTTGAAATGTCGGGCCTTTTAAATTAGAAGAATTCCACGGGAATTTGAATGATATATTAGGTTATTACTGTAAGAAATTGATAAATAGCATGTTTAACGCTAGGCAAACGCATTTTATGATGTAAATGCTGAATTGCTTAAATGTCTGCAATATATTTTATTCATTTTCACCATTTCTTTAATAGCATTCTTGTGCAGTATTTCTTCAATAATTCAAAAACATTAATGCGCATTGCTTAAGCGAAATTCGTGCAATAGTGATGAGATGGATGAATGGATCACTGAATCACTACTAAGCAAAACCTAAATGCTCAATGAGCAAATCACAAACCGTTGTCATGGATATCGCCACCTAACTGATGATCAGATGAGGCATCAATTCGGCCTCTTCTCGAAACCGGGTGCATCTGGTCTTGTTTCAGACTTCTTCGATGACATAGTTCCAATTCACCCTTCTGAAAATCAACAACGCTGAACGCTCTCGTGCAGCGGTCATGAACTCTCAGTTGGATCCTTCTTGCAGTAGTGGTGTACTTGAGATGATGTGTCATATTGATGTGTACGTAGTGAGTGAAGAAATATTGTTCAGTACACAATACTTCGAAATATTATCACTTCAACATTTCGAATATCGGGGCGTTTAGTGGATACTGAAGAAGATTGTTGCGAATTCAGCAGACATTTTGCTCAGCGTCAATGGATCAGAGTTGAGGGTGTTCGGGAATGAAAGAAAAGGACGTAGAGAACTCAAAAAACAAGCGATTGCATGCGAAGACCGCCCAAAAATTGAATTACATTACTTCAATTCAAATTCAAAACAATCATTTGAATGGGTTTGTGTTGAATGATAAACGGACTCAAATTTGAATTATTAACGAGGAATTGGAGTGTGGTGATTTGGTTATTGTGTTGAGCATGAATGGCGAATAAAACACTCATCACAAGCGTTAAGCGTATTCCTTAAATTGTGCACATTTTTTGGCCAGGTTTGAAGCAAGCATAACACGCAAGCAAAAAAAAAATCTCTTCGTTTTGTCGCAACCGACTGCTTTTTCTAGCAGAATATTCATAAAATTTTCAATTGAGGAACTCATAAGAACGAAACCATAATGTCGAAATATCACCACGAGTCTTTTTAAGTTTTATATCACCACGATTTTTCCTAGTTTTTATATCAGCACACGATTTTCCTATCAGTTCGATGATCGGAAGATCATTTCAGAGCGAAATCGAAACTGAAAAATGAAAATTCATCGACGTCAGAAAGCTTGCCTGTTTGATACGCAGTTTGGCCGCAGCAAAAGCATTTGCGGCGACATTGCGATTGCAGCGCATGATATGCATGGTTAGTGATATGTTGTGATAATGATGGCGATGATTCTAATGACAAGCATACGGGTGATGACACACAATTACTCTCATGACAATAACAGTCTTCGACCCGCTCCCTGAAGGCCCTATTCAGTGAACATTCACAAAGCTCATCTTGCCCGCACCACAATATTTCAATCACAACATATTCCTTGAATTACACTCGTTTAAATTTGTAGTTTCAATCTCAAGGTCGAGACAGTCAGATGATGATAACAGTCAAGACAAGGCAGATGATAACGAGGAAGGCTCACAGAATCTAAGCATTAAAACTATCAATAAACGAGTAGCACAGAAACGATTGGTTGCCTAGCTTGTGCCTTCGTTACGACGTGTATGTATGTGTGTGTGTGTGTGTGCTTGATTGCATGGTCGTTTGATACTGCTTGCCATCTGCTGATAATTAACAACGACAAAGTTGGTTTTTTCCACATGCACACACACATACTCTCTCCTCATCTCATGACATGCAAGGATATGTTCACGACTGCCTATGGCTGACTCCCTTTATCTCCCTGATTTGGTTGCATTGCAGCTCTCCGATCCCAAGGTGTTCCTATCAACAATACTAATGCCACTCAAAGACATCTAATTATAACTTCACTAATTATCGTCATTTTCATCACTGAAGAACCTTGATTCTGTAGTGAGTGAATGAAGAACGTACGATTCCGTACGAACGTACACGATTGAAACTTTCATATGTGCATTACGAACGGCAAAGAACGTAGTTTTTAAAAGGTGTTATGTGTACCGCAAAGCTGTTGTTAGACGTAGTGCCAAGGTGTTAGCTGGGATTTGCTGATGATTATGCGCAGCTTACGTTGACGCATATGAAATGAGATAGTGAGATTAGAAAAAAGATAACTTTATGAAAGTGTTGTTGTTTTCAAATGAGCTGAAAATGATTGCAATGAAGTCAACGATTGTGAACGTCATCATCAAAAAATTTCTGCTAAGTTCACACAGCTACAAGCATCACTTGTATGACAATTACACTCCAGTTAATTAACAAACCTTTATTTTCACGATATCAAATGCTCTACTGCATTCATATAAAAGCGAGAATACACTTTGCACATAAAATAATCGCTTACTGTCGTTAACTGCTAATCGCTTTGTAAACTACAACGATTCTGTCGCGACTAGCGCGAAAAGCTAGCATATAATGATAGATAGTACTCAAAAGAAGATANAAAGCGAGAATACACTTTGCACATAAAATAATCGCTTATCGTTGTTAACTGCTAATCGCTTTGTATACTACAATGATTCTGTCGCGACTAGCGTGAAAAGTTAGCATATAATGATAGATAGTACTCAAAAGAAGATAGTACTTATATCAANATTCAGCGTTGGTCCAAAATCTTTGACAAAGTTTCGTCTCATTAAAGAGATAAACACACAAGAATATCTCAATTTAAGAGATATTCAAAAAAAGGCTTAGTTTCGACAATTTTCAAGAATGCTAGACGTATTACTTATCATCACGATGGTTAATACTTATCAAAGCGCTACAAGAAGAGCACTGAGTGAGCGTGGATGGTAATTACCGTGTAAGAAATAGCAACTAGAAGAATGTAGCAGTTGATCTGCAGTAGACAGTTGTGCAGTAGCTAGGAGGATATTCAGCTAATGTTGCTCACCTTCACGTCATGAATCGCATTTAGAAACGACGGCGATATCATACGTCGACGATCGTCATTCGAAAAACGGACTCGATGCATTGCGAAACGTGTCATCTTCTCTCTTTTAGCTTATCGTCACATTCAGATGCGTTATTCACCGCAACCTCTTCATTCAAGCAATCCTTATCAATCATTAACAGCTGAGACTGGGACTGGGACTGGGATGAGAGTGAATTACGTAGATGAGATTGGGCTCTCTATTCGATCGAGAGAGTTCGACTTCGGAAAAAACAATTATTGATTGAATAAATAACTCCAGGCAAGATAAAATGAGATTAACGCCGACTGATAAGACTTAAGGCGAGACGATGGACTGGCAACAAACCAGATTCAAAAATGCGCCTTCTTTAATCCAGTCCACCTGCTATCATTAGGCTGGAGAAGCTCACCGAAAACGACGAACCAGAGCAAAAAATCTCTGACGATTATAAGTGAACTACGAAATACCAACAAAACTATCTACTAAATGCCTGTCTGATAAATGATTTTTTTTTCGAACACAGCACAGATCTTTAAAATAACACATTAAGCGAAGATAGACGAGAATATGAAGTTGATGCGCGTAAGCTCTGAGCTAATGAAGAGTTGCTGAAAACACCTAACGAGTCTAGTCGCCAATATCGCATGAGTGTTAAGGCTACCAATAAAATTCAAAACGATACGCACAACTCGATCACGATCGCCACCACCTCTTCACGAAAAAGCCAAAATGATTCATCAGGTGGCGATTTCCGCAGGGCGTGTCTATTCCGTTGGCGTGGTACTCTATTTAGAACTATCATAAATGAAGAACGCTGAATTGTTTGTACACAACAAATAAAAACTGAATTTAACGTGCCACCAGGGTATATCATCAATATCGCTGACCACGAGAACGATCCACGTTATATTGTAGTTACATTAGCACACATTTTTGCACGCATATGAAAATTACATAACATAACTTGATCATATAGTTAAACTCATTGCAGATCTGCTGCTAATTTCATCTGCGAAACACCGTCAAAGT